AAGGTGGCGTCTGTTTAATTGTGACCACTCCGTGTGTGAATATAAAGCTTATATTTCTGTGTTTCTTTATAACAAAATGTCGGCATATTCAGATCTCTTTCACACACTTTTCAAAACACTGACGTTTTCCATGTTCAAGAAACCTGTTCCCGGTGAGACAGCGGCAAGTCTTCGGATTTACAACACTAAAATCAGGGGTTCGATTCCTCTCGGTGGACACAGCAGATAGTCCGATGTGGCTTTCCTATAAAGAAAACACACACACTCAAGAGACCTTTACGATATCCACATGGATCATATGATTTTTTAACTTCTACGAGCTATGCGCTCAAGGTCACTAACAGTAAAAAGTTTACATTCAATTTGTCGTTAGATAGTTCGAATAGCAGTGGAAACAAGTTGTTTCCATGGTCATTCAGTAACACATACACTGACTATCTATATTTACTATTATCCAGGTTCAGGTGCCACTATTTTAGTGTACATTTCTAAACAGTATTTTGCATTTTCAAATTCAGTTACGTAATCAGCTTTTGATGTTTCTATCAAATATAATTGTTCATCCAATAAAAAAACCCTAGGGTCTCTTCCGTTTGGTGCTCACCAATAGATCTGTTACGACAGCGGATGTCATGTGACCCTGGTAATACGTCATGATGAAGGATCTTGACTTTTCCTGGCAACTCTAGTCTTTTCTAGGCGCCGTCTTTTATTGTATATAAGCCCGGCAAATAAAGCGGAGATGGACAGCAGATAGAGTGATATAGAGACAGATAATTGAGTCAAGCGAGCGGTAGTGACCGTATGTAAAGTGCGTGAATTATAGCGCGTGTTTAAGTTAAAGTGACTGAAGAAATTCTGTGTATTGCAAAGTTGTATTGAGAAAGAATAAACTAGTTTTATTTAAAGAAAGGACTTGTATCGCTGAAGTTCTTCGGGAAGAATTTATACAAACGACCAGAGACGTAACAGATCGTTTTGAAAATAACACCAGTAATGCAATAAAATATAATAATTAATAATAAAACGTTATATGATATCTATTTAGTGAATTCTGTGATATTGATTAATAATACAACGTTATATGACATTTATTAAGTGAATTCTGTGATATTGATTAATAATACAACGTTATATGACATTTATTAAGTGAATTCTGTAATATTAAACAATATTTTTGAATAAATCTTCATCTTTGTCTCTATTTCTCCATATACATTCATAAAGACAAGGCATATGGCGTTTATTACTGTTGGTGGGAACCAAACGGTAAACATAATTTTTGTACTGTAGGTGGACATTGCGCAACTGTCCTTGAACTTAGTAAATACAAGTGAGTTCTTTTGAACTGAAGATCCGTGGCTGAAGTAATAAGACAATAACAAAACTGTTTCAAATCTTTGAAACCTTAACCTTCGGACGACGTGTCCAAATACCTAAGATAATGGGCCACGATAAATCCAAGTAATATCAAAGTGATTCTTGAATGTTTTTGTAAATATTTCGGTTTTGGTGGCCTTGATTTTTAGGGTATTTGTTGTCATTTCATTATTTAAATTTATTAATATGATACTTTTAGTTTTTATAATAACTACGAAATAAAATGGCCACCATAGTAAAAACAAAGAGAGAAAACTGACAATGTTGTGTTGGTCTAAGCCGATTTATATAATTGCTGCACATACATGGTTCCAATTATAAACCCAATACAATGGTGTTTTACCTCATGTTGTGTACATTCTTTGCCCATATAATTTTCTGTTTCCACTAAAAAGGTTTCCGAAATGACTCATGGATGGAAAACCATAGCTCCAAGTTATGGCAGAAAAATGTTGCTTTTGTATTTATTTGTAATCTATTTATGTTACTCATTCTCTATCTTGGAGTATTTAAAGTTGGCAGAGGTTTGGACTTTTACCAGTATAAATTCCTTGAAGTTCTCTGTCTTGGAGTATTTAAAGTTGGCAGAGGTTTGGAATTTTACCAGTATAAATCCCTTGAAGTTTTTATTAAAAACTTGTGTACAAACTTGATGTTTTCAGTGATTTGT